TCATGAGTTTTTATGTGGAAAACTGGTAAAGTTAAAAGAAAATCACGGGGGCTTGGCTCAGCTAAAAAGTTTCACTGTAAAATGATGATTACAGTTGCGATAATTTATCACACAGACTGGAAAGAGTTGTTAGATGTCTCAAGTTACAATATTGATATATAGATGAATTTGTTGCACAGAATGGGCGGCGATCGATGGTGATTGCCAATACGTGTCAAGTGATGGCCGACAGTGGTCGTCAGTGGCAAAGTGACAGAAGTGATGTCGGACTACAGCTCCTTTTCAAAGCTTCAAGCTTTTTCTCGGGTCTCAAGCTTTCTCTCACGCTTCAAGCTCCTTCTCCCTTCATGAGAGGGGTGAGGCTCAATTTATAGAGTTCTGAGTGCAATTAATGCAAGAATATGAACCACTCTGACCATAAGTCTGGAGAGCTCCCCTCAATCAGATGACATTTAATGAACATTTGAGTGCATTAATGATCTAAAAAATGAGTGATTTTAGGCTCGTTGGATTCGTCTTTTCGAAACACTCGATTAAACTATAAGCATATTTGATTCAACATATGTTTGACATTATAAATATATCTGGAAAGCTTCTAAAAGTGGTTTAATGGCTTATTCCGAGCTTGATTTGAATCATATTATATTAATTTTAATATCATTAGGTCTGTTTCGTTGAGTCGGTCAGTTTTGACCATAAGTTTGTCGAAATCGGAGCTCTAAATGATTATTAATCAAACTTTGACGATTTCTCACTCAAAAGATTATCTCGAGATCTATCTCATGCCTAGAGATTCGTGTTGGATGTTAGTTCGACATGGAACCGATTTTCAGTCCAACCAGAATCAGGCCATCGACCGTGTCATAGTTAAACCGGTTGAATCGATTGGTTCGGTCCGTTTTTTAAAATGTGATGCACAGGGATTTGGCCCTCAAGGTCGAACGAGTGTATTCCTGACTCTTTGACCTTTTTTATTTCATCGAATGAGAGTGTTACATAAAGAGAAATCTAAAAAAAGAGGAGTCCCGGTACATAAAAGAGTCCTATTTATAGATATAAAATAACCCAAAGTTTTTAGGGGCATTTACATGTCTACCGCACAATTCTTATGTATATATATATCTAATACTTTTACTTTCATATTTATATGTTTATCACTCAACTACTTAGCATAACATCAACAATATTACCATCAATAATTTTTTAAAAATGGAATACATATTTTCATGCATATATTTATAGCATGAAAGTGTTATAAATGCAAATATTAAAAATTAGGTGTTAGATATATAAATACATAAGAATATTTTGGTGTTGTAAATTTATGCATCAAAATACATACTTTATTATGAAATTAATAAATGATTTTTTTTATGTGACTCTAAACATTTAAGTTTTACGCATGTAAACATATAAATTTTAGAGTTAAATATGTAAATATGATATGGCCTGCACAGTAAAAAGAAGGTGAGAGGATCCAAAAAAAAAGTGGTGGAAACTTCGACCCCACTTACGTTTGGGGTAACTTCGATATGAAAGGAGTGATCGTCTTCATGACATGTTCGACGAGATACAAATGATTCAACACCCATTGTGGCTCAGAAAGGATGTGTTTGTCTCATTGCTCAAGGCCTGGATTGCTTCAGATTATCTCTGAATAAGGTCGTTGCTTTGAAGAAGAGTCAGCAAGCGAAAGAAAATCGTCGCTCTGACTGTGCATAAATGGGAGCCTTCGAGCATACTGGTAAGGCACATACAAAGTACACTAGGAGGCTTGTAAGTGTTAGTTTTTGCATTATATTTTAATACAAATTAAGTATTTACTAATTATTTTCTTATTTTGACAGGCTTTAGAGTTGAGAAGAGAGCACATTGCTGCTGAATTTTGCGTGCATTTCCCATAAACATTAGTCGGATCAAACTTTGGTAGACAACAAATCCCAGGTGATCATATGAGTTACAATAATAATTGTTATGCAATTCAAATAATAGTTGAAATTCATTTTGCCTCTAAATTTCTTTTATCATTTGTTTGTAGAGACTTTCTGAAAGCTGAAGGAGAGTCGGACCCAACACATATGAGTTGCGATCTCAAGTCGTGATCCCTCTAACTATGAGCGGTGGACGGAAGCTGCCAAGGAAAAAAGAAGGGACATGTCTATGGATTGGGTTCACGAGCACAAACCTACAATACTCATGCCTCTCGTGACACATGCAGGGCACCCGCATCTACCGACTAGGAGGATGAGGTTCGTCGGCAGGTTGCCACATTTACCACTGATATTGAGAGCCAATTCGTTGCCAAACTTGCCTGAAATAGAGGCCATGGTAAAATCATAATTAGATGCATTTTGGCGTTATGTTGGAGAGCAGGCGACAATTGAGGATGTTGAGGAAGAGAATAATGAGGGCACCAATGAAGATTAAGACGCTATATTTGTCTTTATAAGACATTTCAAATGAACATTTTATTTTTATATGCAAAGATTTTAATTGTTTGTTTTAATGCATTGCATTCTTTTTCGCACTTAATTTTTGCATTCATTAATGTGATTTTAGTATAATAGTTACTTGGATTATTACATTTCAGTGTGCGATATATAATTGAATGTGTATGTGTTATGATTGTAGGTGTTAAAATTATAATAAAATTTTCATGCTACAGGTTTCTGATGGATTTCCTACGATTTTTCGATGTTTTTTTGCACTTTTTTCGTATGATATGATGGCTATATACTGTCAATATATTAATCAACAGTCTTCTGATGGACTATCAGTAAAGCGACGGGCATTTCTAATGGCCAATAAACCTATAATTTGTTGGGAAATATCATATTTTGCATCTTATTTTTGTAATGAGAATATTGTGATTCTATTTCATACAACGCAGATGAAGCCTATGTTATATTTCAATATCGAAATGTTCTCTGTATGCTACACCTTCTAAATGATTAGAAGAATTTTTTTCCCCATTCCCTTATAATTTTTTTTTCATGGCATTTACATAGCACACAAATCTTATATTTTTACATATCTGACCCCTAAATCTTCATATTTATAAACATACTACTTTAATCTTTAACGTCACATCAAAAATAACACTATTACCACTTTTAGAAAAGAGAAATCCACCTTTTTATTCATAGGTTTAAAACACCAGAATTGATATGCATGTAAATATGAAAATTTAGGTGTGAGATATAAAAATACATGAGAACTTATCTTTTTTCCTTTTTATGTACTTTATATACTCTTGCTGCTTGGTTTCAACACATTCAAATCACATACCAGAACTAAAACTACAACACTCCTAACATCTCTTCTGAAGCTCTTTGAGATGATCCTATTCTTTCATGGAACCTGCAGTTAGATGCCTGCGCGCATCACTTTTTCGATGATCTACGAAATCCGAATACTCTGCTTCCGAATGGAAGCTCTCTTCCACCTCTATTCAATTTCACCCCTCAAGGTACTTTTCATCCACATCTTTATTCATTCATCACCCCATTCCCCATTTCTTTATAGTTTCTTAACTGCTATAACCCATTAAAATTCGCTTTCAGAGCTTGAAGGTGCTTCCCCTGATCTGATTCAGCGTCTCATACCTGAGCATGCTATGCGCTAAATTAATCAATATAAACAGCAATTGGTTATTTCTGGGAATTGGAGAAGAGAACGATTGTTCTACTTGGGCTTGCTTCTTCATGAAATTAGCATTCTGCACATTGAAAAAGGAAGAACCATAAACGAATGCTGATCTGAACTGAAGCCTTCCTGGCAACCATTATTCATCAGAAAATAGGCATCGTTTGTTTTTTTTTTTTTTTTGGCCGGCCATCTGATTTCCATCTATTTGTCTTGGCTTATTACCCCTCTAGATCATCTGAAACTTTTTGAGCTGTCATTGTAAGCTAAAATGTTGTTGTAATTGCCGTTCTTTGATGATGCACTTCTTTGTATTCCTGAACTGTATTAGGGTTATTATAAGGATCAGTAATAAATTCATATTTTTTTATATTGATGAAAAGGTGGCTGAAAGTATTTTCAATCATGAAACTGTGGTTTATGATATCTGTAGATATAGAATTCATGGCAAACATTGAGTTTAAAAATGACAGACTTAAGGAAATAATATTACATCAGGACTCCGCACGTAGAGTTACGTGTGGAGTCTAATGAAATCACGCCACACGTGAATGTGAGAAAAAAAATCGGACCGGTAACACAGAAGAATATTCCCCCCGTGTTATTCATGTATTATTGTGTGTTATTCAAATATTATTGATGTGTTATTGTGTTATTATAACACCAAAAATATTCTCAGAACACAATAACACATGAATAACATACAATAACACTTGAATAACAAGAGGGGAATATGTATTACCGGACCGATTTTTTTTTCTCACCGCATGATTTCATTGAACTTCGCGTGTAACTCTACGCTGATGTAATATTTTTTCCTCAAAGACACTTTAAATATTGAAATAATAAAAATATAAAAATATATTTAATCTAAATATCATCGATATATAATTTAATTATTGACGATTAAGATAAATATCAAACGTTATCCCAAAGTAAAATTGGTGGAATATTTCTCCTTAGAGTTTTAATAATTCATGCCGGCTGTTATGGGAAGAATGGTATAGCGTTGTTTTTAGAAGATTTACATACTGACTAATCACAATTTATATATTTACATATTAACACCTAGATTGCTATTTTTGTCCGATCTTATCCGTGTAAGAAAAATACGTATTTCACATTTTTAGAGTTAGAATACTTGTATTATTTTTTTATATGATATCGTTCAATTTCAATTTGTCGTGTGAATCACACCTGAGAGATAGAGCATTAAGAACGAGGATGGAAAAATAAAGAGCGAGAGATTGTACAGGCAAGGTTCAAATGGACCGGATTATTGAACCGGTAGAGGAGGAGGTTTAAGATTCAACTGTTGGACTGGATTGAACGGGCGGTTGAATCGGATGATATCATAAATATAAAAAAAAAATATTAAATATAACTTAAATGTCATAACAATTAGATGGAATTCAGTATAGAAGGTTAATAAGAAGGAAGCATAACCAAGAAAATATAACAGTGTAAAAAATAAAAGATAATAGAGTAATAGTCATGCTTATTTCACACAAGGTAAAAGAGAAAGTTAAGCTTACACATTCGTCATGATATCAAAAGATTCAAACCATTCTTCATTATTTCTAATAAAAATATGATATGAGATAAAAAAATTATAGTTTAACTGATTGATTGGTTTGACTGTTGGTTTGATGTGGAGCCGATTTTCAGCCAACTAGAACCAGGCCATCGACCGGTTCACAGTTAAACCGGTTTAATTGATTGGTTCGGTCTGTTTTTTAAAACGTTATGCACATGAATTTGGCCCTCAAGATCGAACGAGTGTATTCCTGACTCTCTGAACTTTTTTTTTATTTCATCGAATGAGAGTGTTACATAAAGAGGAATCTAAAAAAAGAGGAGTCTCAGTACATGAAAGGGTCCTATTTATAGATGATGGGAGGACAAAAAATAAAATTACAATATCATCCCTAATTAAAAAGGGTTAATACATGGCATTTTGAGCTTTTGTTCGTCAAAGCCTATCGTTCAGGAGCTCATCGATTGGTGGAGCTGTCCTTCAGTCGGTAGTTTGGTGGGCTATGGGTGGTCGGCTGACTGTGGGTGGTCGGCTGGCTGAGGTGATTAGATGTTGGATTGAGGTGGGCGGCCAATTAGGTGGCCAACTGAGGATTTGAGGTGATTGACGAATGAGGTGACCGATTGGTAGATTGAGATGGATTGCTAGTGAGGTGGTCAACTTGTGTTCTCTCATTAGTTTTATGTCTGTTGGTCTTTGCTACCATCAAATCCCATCGCGATATGCACAAATATAGTTTTTGACATTCATAAATGTCCTCTAGTCTCTTACTTCAAAAAGTTGTAAATACATAAGACTTATATGGTATATATGTAAGTGCTCTTCTTCTTCTTTTTTTTTTAATTTCTCATTTCGGATTAGGGTCCTAAACTAGTCGAAGATCAGTGAATCTGTGCTTAGTTCAAGTTCGAGTAGTTAAAAAATACCTCTATTCAACTCGTTTATATTTTGAACAAAAAATATTTGTTCGTGTTTGGCTCTTCTTTGCTTAGTGAGTCAAACACGAGTTGTTCATGAAGAAAGAGCCATTCTGATATCCCTAATCAGACATCCGTAGGAAGTTGAGTTAGAGAGAGATTTAAATCCTATTCTTTATATTAAATTATAATTTAAATACATTTTAATATTATATTCTATTTTTAAATTAATAATTTTAATTGATCATAAATCTTTGTAGTCTTATAATCAATTAAATTATTTAAAAATCAAAATGAGTTGAACAGAACGAACAAATATTTGTTCACGTACAACTCGTTTATCCAATGAAAAAAAATTATTCACGTTCAGCTCATTTACACTTTTTAATGCGTCAAACACAATACAATGATGAATAACGAGCGGTTTTGAAAAACCCTATTTGGGGTCTAATTATCGCGACTGTAATGGGAGAGCGCACGTAATAACCGCTCCTGTTTGGGATGATGATTTTTGCATGCCTTGCAGTGGGAGTTGCCCGGGTCCATAATGCGATGTTTTTTAAATTCATTGGTAAGAAGTAATTTGACCAAGTGATTTTTTTTTTTTCTCATTCCTACGACAAAATAAAAGTGACCAATTTTTTAATACGAATACCATGTCTTCAATTTTCATATCATTAATTAAATTGCTAGCTGGTTTCAAGGCAGCATGATTTATTAGGTAATATGAAAAATTAGGTCAAAAGTCTAATTATTTTTTTTTTCAAAGTTAATTTCTGGTTGAAATCTTCTAACTGGAGTAAACATTGGATTAATTAACAAAAATATGAGATTAATGTTTAATGGCAAGTAATTGCCAATTGCTTAATTTTATTTAGTTTTTGTATTTGACTTGTGTTGGAAGGTCTAAAAAGATAGAGAAATGAATTATCGTCTTAATATTGCATGAAAATTCAGGATACATTAAAGAAATTAAAGAGAAGTATGATGAGACATATCAAATTTTTACTCGAAAAATCACCCTATAAAGTGGACAAAAAATCATGAGGCCTGGTCCAGTTAAAACAATCTACTATATATGGTGAGTGCACAAATCTACTATTCTCCTGAATTATGAAAGAGGAGTTACAAAGTTGATCATTATAAATGTGGAACATTAATTCATCAATAATAGTTGTGTTATGGTTATAATGAATGTATTTCTTGGTAGTAATGGGCTACAAGGATAGTAATTCATTGTGAATATTGTAGATGATGAATATATCACCAGCTTCTCATACAAACCATAGTTGAAAGCAATGATGGTGGTTGGTCTTATGGGCCGTAGAAGCTGTGAGCCACACAGGCCGTAGTGGTAAGTTGTGATGACATTTGTAGATTACAGTGGTCTGAGCTGAAGAGTATTGGCATCAATTTTTGATCCTGTGACTGTAGAATGTCAGCTCAAACACTATAGAACATTGATTGAAGCATGCATTGATTCTCGTAGTGCAAGACATACATTTGAGATCCTCCTGCGGGTAATGAATGGTACACAATCGGAGACATTCTCCTAGAATCTGTCTGTTGTTTAGGCAATGGCCTATCAACATTTGGCTGTTGGACGGCTTCGACCGGACAGAGAGATTTTATCCAAACGTCCACATGCAAATCAAACTTAAATTGCCTAGTTCATTGAGGAATTTATCCAGAAGACCTTAGATGACGAAAAAAGCTGTGTAATCTCATCCGGAACGTCAATTTTGCCTAATGAAGACACATATTTTGTTAGCATTCAGTGCACGAGCGAATTGCACGCAACTCAAATGCATTTTAAACAAAATAATTAATTTCAAAAAGAAAAAGAAGAAAAAAAGTTCTTTATTATAAAAAAATATTTATAAAACCTTTCCTTTTTCTTTTCCCTAGTCTTCACGCACAGGAGCTTTACTCCCGACTCTTTTCACATATCGGCCTCACGCCTCTGTCGCGATGCCCTAGCGGGCTTCTCCCGCTTTTTCGTCCAGCCGTCGACCTTTTGGCGCCGACGATTTCCCTGCGGCTCTTACGCGTGTCAACCATCCTGTTTCTCATGTGAGAGAGGAAGTCTCCCCCTTTTGTGTGCCCAACCGTGCGGCCAAGCTCCAACCAAGTTTCTTCTCGGCCACTGCTGCCGCTCGCCTCTCCTCGTCGTCGGCGATCACGTCTGGTTGGCGGCCTCTGCTCATAACGTCAATCCTCCCTCTCTCCCGTCAAAATCTATGTGATGCACTAGCTATTTTGGGCTCTATGCCGCGGTGCCTCACGCCAGCATCCCTCTCCTGTGGAGTCTAAAACGACGAGCTTCTACAGCTCCTGTGTACTACTTCCCTTCATGCACAAGAATGCAACCCGCTCTGACTCTTTCTCCTTGCCAATATCCTTTCGTCACATGAAATAGCCTCTGGTATCCTTTTCGGCAACCTTGCCGCCTTCGACTGGTGCTTACTCCCTCAGGCAGAACCCCAACATTTGTGGGCGGTCGAAGCTTACTCATGGCCCTTCCTTTCGGCCCAAAGCCTTGTCAGAGCTCCTTGCACCGGGCAGAGTTGTGACCTCGTCATGACGTATGGAAGCCCGAGCAACCCCTCTCACCAAGGTACGTGTTGGACATACCCTGGCATGTTCAAATTGTTTTTCGAAGATACTTGCATACCTTCTGCCCTCACTTCCTCTAGCCTTCATTTGTTACATGCATGTCCTACGAGGTACGTCGCGAGGTACGTCGGTGTATGGCCCAGACACTAATAGCTTGGAGCAAGCGATGAAGATGCCTTCAGATGTCAAGAAGGTATAGCCCCTCCCGACTCGGTGAATTTCTTTTTAGCAAGCCCCTAGGTCTGGTTGTTAGAGAAATTAGGGCTAGGTTTTTGTGATAGAAAAAGCCCCATAGGTAAGGAA